GTGCCTGAGCCCGCGTCGGCAACGGGTATTGGCTAGCCACCCTAGTAGACAGTCATCCTCGGTGCCTGGATATCTTTGTTTAATGCTTTGAAAAAAGTTACTGTTTCTTATATGAGTGTACGCTGTTATTTGATTATTTGAATGAAAATTAGAAAAAAAACGTAACACGTTTCGTCTTTCAAAAAGACTTCATCAGACTAATATAATCAACATAAAATTTATTATTTGAATTTAATGGCTAATTCATTAGATGGATCCTTGCACAACTCTTAATCGTTGAGTTGCGGGCACTTCAACATGTTGTAATTCAAGCTTGTCTCGCAAGATCAGTTACGGTTGAAAAGTGAGTTCGATCCTCACCGGGTGCCTCATACATTCAGCCTCGTGCTGCATCGTGGTGTAATGGTTATCAAGCTTGTCTCAATAGATTATAACTCTTTGTAAATGCTAGATTATGCCCCATAGTTTCTGCCTTGAGTCACATCGAAGCTACATTTAGAAAATTACCTTAATCATTGAATTGTGTGTTTTGTTTTTTGTTGTTTTTTTTTGGCTTTTTTTTTTGGGGGGTGGTCAAGTACTTTGGTCGAAACCTAATACAGATTTGGCTTATGGTATATCTATCGGTTTTAATTCAGTATTGTTCTTTCCCTAGACTAGTTGCCAATGTAGGGATACAAAAAGCGATTTTCTCAATTTCTTCAATTTTCTCATGTCGGTCACGTGACGGGCGCTTTGGGACGTCACCCTATGCAGTGACGAAAGCGGCAGTCATTCAGCTAAATCGTGGAAGTTTTCAAGACTGAAAGGAAAAGATGACATATCAAATATGCTCTGTTCTCAGAGTTATATGATGCTCCGTCGTACACAAAATTATATAACATTATATACAAGTATCCCACGCAGAGAAATATAACATATATCTGCACAGCAAGCAGTGTGAAAGAAGAAGGAAAAGATAGGAGCTTCCACATAATATGTAAATTCTTCTGCGTTTCTGGAGAAGCCATGTTTCGCCTGATCTAAGACTGAGAGAAAAAGGAATGACAAACGTACTTTATTTTCAGAGATTTATGATGCTACGTCATGCACAAAATTATATATATATATATATATATATATATATATATATATATATATATATATATATATATATAAATTATATACACGTGCTCCACGCGGCGAACAATGTATTATATATCTACACACCAGCAGAATGTAATGAGAAACAAAAAGGAAGAATGTTACATATAATATGGAGATTCTTCTGTGTTTCTGCATAAACTATGTTTAGAATTCCAGATTTAAGCAGACTGGATTCATTTATTATGTTTCACGCGAGGCCATATTCCGTGAACAGGAAACGGCGAGTCTTGGGTTTTCCCAAATTGAGAACTGAGAACCGGAAGATATATTCCCAAATGAAGCGGAGCTACGCGCTTCTAAGTTGTATCACGTTCTGGAGCAAGAAGATTTAACCTCAGGACTAAAAAAGCAACCGCTCCGTTTGGCATTTATAAATTGACTGAAACCCAGCCGCTTTGGTCGCTGTATGGAGTAAATTTACTAAGCGGCAGTCATGTGACCCACGTGGCTTATCTCGACCAAAAGGAGATAATCGACTTTTGTATCACTACATCAACTATGACTAGAGATCTTAGTCTACTCTGCAATTTCCTAGCTGAGGTAGAATAAAGGAATTCGTACATTTCCCAAGAGTACTTGTGGGCTCTGAACTCGAAATCGGCTCTCCTGTTTCTCATTCCAAGCTGCTACTACTTGCACCACCCGCACATCCCTATCAGCCATTCTTCACGGTGCTTAATTATATTTCCCTCTCCCCGCAACATATATATTTAAATCTATCAGTATGGATATTGCTTTTCTTTGATCAAGTCATTTTAAAAAACGAAACGCGTTACATAAAAGTTTTATTTCATTTTCTTATTCAATTACCTAAAATTGTTCTGATATATAGAAATTATATATCATATTCCCGTTTATTCTACATTATCCGTGTTAAACTTTTAGGTGCGTTCCAATTGACGCTCACTTGTTTACATTAATAGACAGACAGAAGCACACACCTTGCAGTCAATATTAAACGTAATTACCCGATAAAACTTCTGCCAGTTGACCTATTCACCATCTTACACGCATATACAACAACAGCAGTATCCCCTGGCTAACAGTCGGTACTATCCCATCCCATTAAACTTCAGTTACCAATTTTCCATTTTAATATTAAACGGTCACAGTTCACCGAATATATCGACCGAATAGAACGCTAGAGACAAAACCAATTAAAGCTTCTCTTATAGACCACCTAGACAGATATTTCTGTTCTAAGTTCCTTGGAATTCCTCGCGTCAGAGACACGTTATTTCAAGTCCGAACTTTCGGTATGGGTCATTTAATGCTGCAATTTAATTTTCTTGGAAGCTTTGAATTCGTAAAAATATATATATTATTCTACTTTCACACTTGAATACATGGTAGATGATACTCAGCTTTTGTTCATATGCATGTTTGTGTAGACATAATCACTAGAGGCGGTGATGTGCTTTTTCATGTTGTAGTTATATTTTGGAAGACAATTTGATTTTTTAAGAAATTATAAGATATCATATATAGAATTAATGTCATGAAAGAGTTCTTTCATGTTGATTGTTTGGATGATTTTGTTTAGTGGCATATCAACACCTCTATGGATTATTTAATGCCAAAATCTACATTTTTAACACAATTTTATGGTCCCAACAAAATATATTTTGAACGCAATTGTAAGCCTTCAACTACTGATAAAATGTATTGTTGGTCACTTTACTATAAATATGTATTGTTGGTTGATTGATTTTGTTGAGCAGCATATCAACACCTATATGGGTTATTTAATGCCGAAATCTAAAATTTTGAACACAATTTTATGGCTTCATTTAAATATATTTTAAACACAATTGTACGCTTTCAAGTACAGATAAAATGTATTGTTGGAAATCTAAATGTTTTGAACAGAATTTTATGGCTTCACTAAATATATTTTGAACGCAATTGTAAGCCTTCAACTACAGATAAAATGTATTGCTGGTTACTTTACTATAAATATGTATTGTTGGTTGGTTGATTTTGTTTAGCTGCATATCAACATCTCCATGGGTTATTTAATGCCGAAATCTAAATGTTTTGAACACAATTATATGGCTTCAACTAAATATATTTTGAACGCAATTGTATGCCTTCAACTACAGATAAAATGTAGTGTTGGTTACTTTTCTATAAATATGTTTTGTTGGTCATTTTTTAATATAAAAATATATTGCTGCTATTTTTACCATAAAAATGTATCTTTATACTTTCATAATATATTTTTTTAATGTTTTGGAGGTTCACTATTTGCCCATAGTTGGTACCCTAACAGGTGCTGCCATCCCAGGTTAGGTTGGACCTGTGAACAACAGCAATTAAAATATAGTTCTACTCTTCTCAAACCCTTCAATCTACCGAAATGAACACTCGCTGCCGGATGTAGTTTATCATCATACCCTGCATTTAATTCACAGCGATTTATCTTATCGATAAATCGCTCTGAAAATCTCGTATTTGTGAGAATATAACGTTCTAAAATTATTCGCCTTATGAGCGGTCATATTTTTTTCCCTTTGGATTTGTTTACATTCATTGCACGCACGAAGTCTTTGTGTCGGCGGGAAGTTTTTTTTTTTTATTATTTGCTTTTTCTTTCAGTTCTCCAACTGGAAATGGGACTGATGCTTGCCTAATTCTTGCTTTCCATCCATGACAGATTTCAAAAGTGTTTATGCGGCCTTAAACTGATGAATAGTTTTCCACCCTACAACCCCTTTCTCCACACACGAAAATTTCTTGCTACTCTATCACGATTTTCCTGGCCGATCTTATCATCTACTGCAAGGAAAGCTGGGTCACTGTGTCGTGACAGAAATTTTTTCTCTCGTTAGAATCCATTTTGCACATTTACAAATCTGTTATTCGTTCGAGCATTGAAAACTGTTGCCAGATCTGGTTTAGACCTCCTGCTATTCATCGCGAGATTCTAGAAAAAAATTCAAAGAAAGATATGAAATGTAATCGATCCTGACCAGTCATCTCAACATCAATCACTTTCTCACTGACGTGACGTAGCTTCCCACTGTCTTTTCTACAGATATGTCCATGGCAACTGCTCTGACAAGCTTTTTTTCCCCTTGCTGCTCCGACTACATGAATCTAAGCGTACTACTAGATTGGCATCTAGATCCCAACCGTTTACTGTTGAAATAACTAAATGCAACAGTTTTTTTGCTCTTCCCATCTGTGAAACTCCCTTCCGTTTACTTGTTTCTCTGATAACTACAATCTTCAAAAATTTAAATGCAGCATCAGTCGCCATCTGCTGTCTTCTTGAACCCTGTTCATTTATTTTTGTCCTTTCCTCAACCGTCCCTATTCTCAGTATTCTATTTCGCTTTCACTATATGTAACCGCCCTGAGTATTAGTGGCATTCCTGCCTTTCTTGGGGCGAAATGATTCAAAAAATAAGATGTTCAGACGAGCTGCATTCCTTAGTTCAACCAGCCCCGACCTTCACAACTAACACCTGACATACGACGTACACAGAGTCGACTCAATTTCTTTGCCTTCGTATTCCACTGCTAAGGACGAAGATCCACTCAGTCAGCTTCTTTTTCAAATCTGTTACGTTTTGAAAGAGACTCCCGAGAGGATGCTTCCCCGATTATCTTAACCTCTTCAAGTCTACAGTCATTTGTTATCTATCCTACATATCCTCATAATATGCACCCTTTACTCCCCTCCCCATTTCTACGCTTTTGTGACAACCCCATTCAGTAACCCTCTACTTTCAGTGGATCTTGGGCTTTGCATTTGGAGAACAGTAGTATATTTAAAAAATGAATTCGATCTTCATTAGTTTATTTTTCTCGAGTTTAAATTTATTTAATCGATATACGGTTGGCAGCATATGTCAACAAATGCTCGTACAGTGGCCAAAACGGTAACTCGTTTACGCTTGGCAACTGTCTTTTATAGTTATGCTTTTAGGGTGAGTAATATTCAAATATCTTGTACTAGTTGTATTTTCTCGGGAGGCTTAATAATACTTCTTTTTGGGGTCAGGACATAACTGTTTGATTTTTTTCCTCTTCCTAGTACTTTTCTGTCTCACCAATAATGTTCTTAAATTATTCTCATTATGAAGGGACATCTTTTTTCCCCTCTCGATTTCTTTTAAATTTAATGCCCGTGCAAAGTCTTTGTGTCAGTGATAAGCCATTTTTTTTCTTTATTTGCTTTTTCCTTCAACCACAAGCACATTTAGTCTCTAGAAGAATTTTCACAAAACATATTGAAAATGGACTAATTTCAGAATCCTCTATGGTAAATTTACATCCAATATTATACAGCATATCTTCTTCACAAAACTAGAGATTAGAGAACTAGAAACGATTATTATAAAAACAAATAGACATACTATGTCTATATTATTCAATGAAACATGTTTGAATGAAGGTATGCTGCTTATTATATATATATATATATATATATCTCGGGTATAACAGTAAAACTGCCCAAATCATTTCAAAGCAAAATTGTCCAACTGTTAGATTAAGCTTTGAACTGTTCTATCTTAGAAATGATTAAAGATATTTTACTGGAATTTTCTGAGGTTTTTATAACACTATTGGACTCTACTTTGAGCGATAACAATGTATAATTACTCTCCAAGCTTAACAGAAGTATCGTGATGAAATCGATCATAATGAAAATGGCATGTTTATCATTAATTAATCATAGCTAAGAATCAGAAGCTCAGGAAAGATTGAAATAAAATTCAAATATATATATATATTATTCCATAATCATTTTTCAAATAATTCAAGATGATCCTTGCACTCTCTAACCTTCTAACTTTCTGTCCTGGAAAAACAACGTGCCTCACAATTTTCACGTACGATTTCATTTTCAAGTCTTTTTTCACTGCTCATTGAACTATCATAGGTGAAACTCTTCTCTCACATGCCAAACATCTTATGTATTGAGTTGGATCTTTTCTAATAGATCGATTTAGCTCTTAGTTGAAATGATGATCCCTCTTGCTGTTGTTACCTCTTGACCCAGTTTTTCTCTATGGTAAATCTACGTCCAGTATTATACAGCATATCTTTCTCACAAAACTAATGTTGATCCAATACAAGATAATTAAAAACAATAAAAGATATAGAAAGCTGAATGAGGATAACTAGGTAATGTAGATGGGACATCAGTTTCATGTCGTTAAGATGAAATTCATCAAGGAAGGTGTCATAGTGAGAATATAACGATCTTAAATTATTCGCCTTAGCGGCCATCTTTTTTTCCTTTGGATTTCTTTACATTCAGTGCACGCGCGAAGTCTTTGTGTCGGAGGGAAGTTTGTTTTTTGTTTTTGTTTTTTTCCTTTATTTGCTTTTTCTTTCAGTTCTCCAGCCACAAGCACAGTTAATCTCTAGAAAAGATTTTACAAAACATATTATAGGTTAAAATCATATTTCAATATTGTACCATAACTTCATTTTTCTTTCAGAATGGCTACCACTAAAAATTACAATAATAATAATAATGAACTCTTGCATCATTTTAAATGTATTAAGGTCCAGCTGCTTAGTTCCTGGAATTGAAAAGCCAGACTATCAGCACATATAGCAGTGAAAGCTTGTGGAGAATTGACCACATGTTTCAGAAGTACTGGATACAGAGGATTAGTGCACATAGTGTGTCATAAGGTCTCTAAACAACCCTTCTCAGGTTTTGAATTCAGAACTGTCTTTCTCTTAAACTGGTTGCTAACAAAGTTAAAGAGTTCAGTCTGCCCTACTATTTAACCCATAACTAGGGAGAGATGAAGAGATTGAGCCATATCTTTACGTAGGATATTTGCACATAAGCGAATGTAACAAACTCAGCTGGAATTTGAACACTGTTCCAATTTCTCATTCCAAACCACTATCCATTACACCACCTGCACATCCAACATATTTCAAACTAAGGTGGGTAATCAAATGACAAAATAGGTAAAACTTCTAAATAGCCCCATAGTTCACTTTCACTTGTGAGAGAATCATTTTCCTTGTCTTTCTTATGAGCGGCCAACCTTTTTCTTTTTTTTTTTCTTTTTTTTCTCTCCGGGTTTCTTTACATCCATTCGTGCTTTTTCCTGTCACAATAAATAGTTGCACTTACGAGGTTTCATACTTTGAGAGTATTTTCCTGGAAGGAAATATTTGAAATTCATTGACCGAGCATTGCTATCGCTCTTTCCAGTACTGATGAGGGTTCCTTCCTTTCAAGTGTTGTGGAACGATAGCATGTGTCTCAACGGCTGTTGTAATGCGTCAAGTGTGGTAGTCTGTAGTGGTAGTGCTTGCCGCCTCTCGCTTTCAGTTACCGCCGCTGGCTTGCAGAAATGCGAAAACGGGAGCCGAGTGCGTAAGTCTTCCCCTGCCATTATATAGCCTCTACATCAGCAAGCCCTATGTAGTGCCTCCTCGTGGCGACACATGGCGACCGAACACCTTGCGGACTCGGGCTAAACTACGGGGACGGGGGAGGAATTGGCCCCCTTAAGATGCGACATGCAGTCCCACCGTTGTGTGGACACGCCCTGGTGCCCATGAACCAAACCCCAGCTATGGGTTAAATAGCTCCATTGCCTTGTGGAAGATAAGATAAGGCTGAGGAGTAAACCCAGCACAAATCCGGAGTGGAGCCCCTAAGGTGGTTCGACGGCACTCTGTGCTACCTTCCGGCAACTCCTGCAGCCGCGCTGGTACCAAACTGTATTGGTTTATCCTCTCCTTTGGACTCGGCTAGCAAGGCCGAGAGGGGGGAACTAGACGTCCGGGCAGCCTTAGTTCTCCATGCATCCCGCCAAGGCTCGTAGCGCACTGGAGAGGACACTCCAGCGACGTCGCAAGACATCGGCAGCGCTACTCCATCGTCTCCCGAGACGGACGGATGCCGAACGAACGAACGAACGAACGAGTGTGGAAAATAACATCTTGATTATATTCTCTTTGAGTCACACGTGCTATCCATTTAGTTGTTACTGCATTTGAAAGTCCTCAAATGATATGTTTTCTGTTATTTAGTAAAGTGCTTTGTGATTCTGTAGCGCTAGTGTACGACATTCGAGGAAGGATGGTCTTTTCTAAGACCTAGAGTCTTCATTTGCTCGAAGCCATTTTTAATCATTTATCTGAAAGTTCAGTTTTATGCCGAACGAACGGAACGACTTATGCCATTATTTTCTCTTTGAGTTGCCTTGGCTATCTATTCCTGTGTATCTTATAGTAATTTTAGTCCATTCTTCTAGCTTTCTTTGTTTAAGTATTTTTTCAGTTTCCTTTCTGAGTCCACCATAAATAGTATTTAATCTCGAATACTTAGAATTACTTTCTTTCGTAATCATTTGTAATCATCATTTACACACCGTGACCATCAGAACATTGGTAATCATGGCTCCCCGCATCTTCCACGTTTTAAACAACGTTTGATTCTTTACCATTCGTTCCAATTCCTTCTACCTTCTTCATCGGTATGGTCTGTGAGTATTAAATTTTCCTAGTCGTCCCTTCTCACAATGTGTGCCAGACATTTTAACTGTCGCTTTTTCATTTTATGCCTTTCTTTCTAGTTCATATTTTCTAATGAACTTCCTAATTGCATACATGTTCTGTTGATGTTATTCTCTACATCTATCTGACGAAAAATATTTCTGTCGCTTCCATTCTGTAAAAATTCTACAAGCAATTACTCCCATAGTACACTTATATATTCTAAAATCTGCAATAGCTAGGTATATATATATATATATATATATATATATATATATATATATATTAGCTATCTATCACGGTTTTTCATATTTATTTCACTCTGCTCATATCTATCAATCTATCTCATTCTCTTCCTTTATTAATCTATGTCAGTCTAGTCTTCAGTCGGTTTATCTATTTATCTATCTATCTGCCTATTTCCGTCTCTCCATTATATATATCTATCTATTACAGTTTTCCATATTTATCTCACTATGCTCATATCTATCTATCTATCTATCTAACTATCTATGTCTGTTCGTTATCTATCTATCTATCTATCTATCTATGTCTGTTCGTTATCTATCTATCTATCTATCTATCTATGTCTGTTCGTTATCTATCTATCTATCTATCTATCTAATCCTCTTCAGTATCTATCTGTCTCTCTGTCTTTTAGCCTCTAACAGTGAAAATCTATCAATCTATCGATCCCGGTCTCTTACTTCTCTCACTAATTCTCTCTCTCTCTCTCTCTCTCTCTCTCTCTCTCTCTCTCTCTCTCTCTCTCTCTCTCATATATATATATATATATAGTAATTGAAAAGTAATTCCATATTGCCAGCCAGGAGTCCCGACTTAACACCCTGTGACATTTTTTTTTCCTTTGAGGTTGGTTAAAAGGAGCAAGTCTATTATACCAAAGTAACATTTGGAAGAACTTGAAGGGCGAATACAAGAAGTTATGTCTTCCATACTACAAGAGTTCCTGGTGAAATCAATTGACGCGATTCCTGGGCGGCTCCAGAAGCTAGTAGCGAAATCTGGTGCCCATATTGAATTTTAAATAAAACCTCATGCTAAATACTTTCCTTTTATATCCATTTCTTGTAAAAATTATAGTTAATAAATAAATTATAAGTATTTTAAAATGGAGAGTTAACATTTCAATCATCCTGTATATATAACAATTTCTTTTTTCATCAAACCATATCAGTCTAGTCTCATCTATGTATTTATCTATCTATCTATTTACCTATCGATTTCAGTTATTTCCTTCTCTTTATTTATCTCTCCCTCTGTCTGTCTGTCTGTCTGTCTCTCTCTTCTCATTCTGCTTGTCTATCTGTCTATCCATCTATCTGTTTGTCTGTCAATCTCAGTCTCTTCTTTATCTATCTGAATTTTTACAAATGTATTCTTCATCGATCGTTTCATCATCTGAGGAACAGATAAGCAGAATTCGATAATGGACAATGAAATCCTCATTCTTTTTCTATTCTCTTGTCTTTTTCGTTATATTCTGACCACAAAGCATTTCCATTCGACAACTTCTCTTTTAAAACATCTTTGTACCTGAAATAAAAGGGGAAATCTTTGCAGCGACTGTCTTTTCTCTTTTATCGTTCTGGCTTTAAAACACAAAACAGAAAGACTTATTTTTTTATTATTCTTTTTAACAAACACCGTTTTTAACATATATATATATATATATATATATATATATATATATATATTCTTTTTTTTTACAGCCGGCATTATGGTTCACAGGGCGGTAACCTTTTTTGTGTACTCGTCTAATAAGTCAAGTTCAATTTAGTTGGCGTCTTTGAACAACTTTCTTTTCATTTCAATGATTCGCTCTTTCGCCTTCGTTTAACCGACTTGCCTTTCACTGCGCACGATTCTCTGGGGTTTCCCCCGCCCCTTTGTTTTTCTAATATCATGTCCCTTCAGAACATCAGCGATAGTGGCTCTCCACAACATCCATTTCTTAAATAAGTCTGAATTGCCATAATTTCATTGAAAAGATAGTGGACTGATTTTCCATGGTTTTCGACAATGTTTCCAGATCAGAGATGTTCTCCTAGACTAATCGCCATCCAAGGCTAAAGAGCCCAGTTTACGCTGCTATTTAACATATAGCTGAAGAGAGAAAAGATGGTCTTTATGAATTTTTCAGGGCATTGTATTAGTATTATGACCGAACGTATCTCTCATAATCTAAATGCTTTAAAAATTAGAACTACTATATTACCTACTAGGACTATCCGTAGTTTATTAAATAGCACCAGCAGACAACATATTACATCCGATGCTTGCATCTATCAAATATCATGCAAAAACTGTGACCTAAAATATGTGGGTGAAACATGTAGGTCCGTAAAATCTCGTGTTTTCGAACATAAACGAGATATTTATAAAATTTTCAGTTATCTGTTTTGGATAAGACTTGTTTTTTATGTCCATCGTCTTTGTCAAATTGAACTGAATTGTATTTTAATGAATATTGTCTTGAAGAAGGTTTATTAAACCGAAACGTCAGACGTCGACATTTCATTCATTTTAAACAACATAATTGCATTTAAGGATTTTTGGTTTGTTTTTTCAAATTTTTCTTCATTCTGTCGGATCTATATCCATTTACATTTGCATACATATATATATATATATATATATATATATATATATATATATATATATAATATATATACCAAAATTTATTATAGTAGATACTTCTTATTTGAAACAGACGCCCGAATTTTATTTATTTAACAGTGTGTATCACACTGATTAAACATTTTTAAGTAAGACTTTTTTTAATTTCTGTAGTTGACATGAAATGAAATAGAGGAATTTTTCTTGTCCTTTGGGACCATAATTTATTAAAACATGAATTGTTTATTGTTAGAGTTGACCGCGGATAAATGAAATCGGGAAATTTTTCTTGTCCTTTGGGACCATAATTTATTAAAACATGAATTGTTTATTGCTAGAGTTGACCGCGGATAAATGAAAACGAGAAATTTCTAACATAACTACTAAAGTGGAGTCGCGGATAAGGGAGATAACTGCATACAGAAGTTAGCCAACACAAATGCCTGGGATTATGCGTGTTGATTAATGCGTGTGTCCGTGTGCGCATGTATGCCTTGCGTGGACATTCGCGCATGCGTGAATCGTCTCCATCTGAACTCATTATCTCGCACTTGTTCTTTTCTAATCTCTCCCATGATCTGATAAGAAACCAATAAAAGAAAAAGAAAAAAAAAACAGTCAAGCAGCCCCCCCACCCTTTCACCCCTGCTCTAAAGCAGATCTGTTGATGGTGACATTAAACGGCTTTGCCACTTTTATTCAATTTCTATCGATTGGAAGAACCCGTCACGAACTTATTAAAAAGAAAACAAGAAAAAGAAAGAAACTATATAAAAGGCCTTAAACTATCGGTATTCCATCTCCTTCCCACCCCTTGGCCCAATTTTCCATCTATTTCCATTCCAGTTCTTGGGGTTACTACTAATTCTTCTATAATCAATAGTTAGTCACCTACCATCACGTTATGGTTAACGAGCTTATCTTGGTGATTTTCACGTTGGTAACCTTGTATCAGACTTAGCTCAGCTTGACAAATATAAATATCAGGCAGTATTTAAGCTAGGTCCTGCGAAAGATTCTTGATTGGGCCTTCAGCTAGGAAGGAATAAATGCGATAGGCAACAATAAACTACAGAAGAACTCAAAATTGATTGCTGCATTTAAGTGTTGGATTGATATTTAAGCTTACCTTTTAGAAGTTCAACTATAATTCTTCTGCCGCGACTTTATTTAAAGACAATTTGATGTACGTATGACCTTAATTTCCGTACAAACAATTAGTTTTATTTTATCGGTGACTTTCGCTGGATTTTGCAGTTAATTTCGATTATTCCCGAATTTATTTCTAAGTTATAAAAAATGTTATCTTACAAAAAAATTAATCGTAAAAAATCACGTAAAAAATGGCCGAAAACAATCGCAGTAATGAAAATTTGGGAATCCAATATTTCAGGATTGCGCGTCTGAAACCGGGTCGAAATGTTCTTAATTTGCTCAAGGAGTCGGTCTGATTCCAAAATGCTATGATATGTTGGGCTACGGCCTCTAGAAATAAAGTTGAAAACACGGACAATTTAATTTTGAAACACTATAATTTGAGAACAGTAATGTTTTTTCATTAGAACATGAGTTATTGAAAGTTGAAGAGTTGTGTCCCTTTAATTATTTTTATCAGTAGAAGCCAAGATGGCGGCATTCGAAAACAATCGCAGTAATAAAAACTTGGGAATCCAGAATTTCAGGATTGCGGTTCTGGATCCGAAAATTAAAAATTAATTTATCAAATTAAAAACATTTTCTCACGGAGTCGGCCTGATTCCAAAATGTTGGGCTACGGCCTGTAGGAATAAAGTTGAAAACACGGACAATTTTATTTTGAAACATTATAATTTGAGAACAGTATTTTTTTCATTTGAACATGAGCTATTGAAAGTTAGAGAGTTGTGTCCCTTTAAGTTGGAAAAGTGTGACACAGCAACATTGCATTTAATATATAGATGACGCAATACTTAACTCGCTAGTCCTACAAAACATTATTACTGTAAAGAGTTCAATCCAACCAACGGTCCCTATAAATTCTGGCGTGTCAAACTAACCGAAACTTATTAAATATCAGTTTTGATAGACTGATTTTGTTGAGATGTTAACCTTGTTGGATTATTCAATATCGAATTTTTTATCGGGCACCCAGTGAGGATCAATCTTACTACTCAGTAGTCAACCAGACTAGCCTCACTGACACTTACCTCGCGACAAGATAGTCTGGTTGATGTTATAACATAAATTCTTTTGGGGTTAAAGTCGATAATTGTCTGGAGTACCCAGTGAGGATCAAGTTCCCTGTTCAGTAGTAATGGCCAACCAGGCTAGACTCGTTAACCATTACTCCACGACCAGTTAGGTTGGTCGATTTTACGACATCTCATCTCTTGCTGAGTTATTTAATGTCAAATTTTATACATTATTTACATTATTCGGACTATTGTCCTCATCTTTATCGCCATATTTATTACAACGTTTCGGGCGTTGTACACTCCGGCCTTCTTCAGGTGATTGGAATGTCGAACTGAACCTTATATTTCGCTGGGGGGACTCAGTTCTAGTTCCGATGCCATGTTTAATGGATGACAGTTGTCAGTTATCTCCTGTTATTTTTCCCTTCTCACACTCTTTGGGTCTTTCTCCACTGTTAAGGCAAAGGTGAACTCCACTCTTTGAGGTCTTGTCACTTGGAGAGGGCCATATGACATCCATTAGACATGGCACGAATAGAACAAAGAGCTTGCCAGTTCTGACATCCCAACTGAAGGCCGGAGCGTGCAAGAAACGTTGTAAAAATATGACGATAAAGATGAGAACAATAGTTTGAATAATGTAAATAGTGTATATAATACCTCAGTCCATATATAGACAGTCAAATTTTATATAAGGCACTTTGTGAGGTTCAAACTCAATACTCATTTGTCATGGTCAACCAGACTAGTTTCGCTGACCATTACCCCACACCGAGTTATGTTGACTTAAAAGCAGGACAATCCAACACTTTTTTTTTGGGGGGTATTTAAAGTCGATGTTTGTATGGGGCACCCGGTGAAGATCGAACTCACTACATAGACATAATGGTCAACCAAACTATCTTGCTAACTATTATTCCATACTGAATCGCTCTAAATGTTGTTTTGGCACAAGGTAACCAGTATGGAGCGCCCAGTGAGGATCAAACTTATAACTAATAATCAACCAGACTAGCCAGGCTAACCATTAGCCAACGCCGAGTCGCCTATCACTTTTGGATGCTTCGGCATGGAGTAATGTTTAACAAACTAAACATGACAACTGCAATAGGCTCTGTCCACAGCACTGTCCACAAAGTTGGCCTCAGGTCAAAATAAGCTAAGCTCTGCAAATTACAATGAGTCAGTGTTAGAAATGACAGATCATTTTATTGATCTTTCAAGGCGCTTTGCCATAGATCAATAGCTCATCTCGTAGTTGATGATTTACAACTGTAAGGAACTTGATCCTTACGAGATATCTTGAACATTTTCTATTGAACTAGACAAAGCTTCTCTTTCAAGAGAACTCGATGTTTAAGAAACCAAACTCATAGATCATTATAGTTGGTATGAGTTCGATCCTCATTAAGAGTACGACACTTCTAAATTCAAAAGTATGCAGGTATTACAATTGCGAAATTTTATCTTAGGTGCTGGATGAGCAATTCTACTCCGTAAATATTATGTTGAATAGGGACATTCTAACTTCTTCCTAAATTAAACCGCAGCAGCGTCGCCATTATGATCCACAATGAGACTGCATGAATCAAAAATGACATTTAAAAATTACTGCTCTAGTGAGGAAGAGCATTACTGCTGGCACTATTACTAGTGTGTTTACGTAATAATTGCTTATGGCACAACGCATAAAACATAAAATAACTCATACAGATGTTGATATGCCGCTAAACAAAGTCAACCAACCAACAATACATATTTATAGTAAAATGACCAACAATACATTTTATCTGTAGTTGAAGGCATACAATTGCGTTCAAAATATATTTAGTTGAAGCCATAAAATTGTGTTCAAAATATTTAGATTTCGGCATTATATAACCCATAGATGTGTTGATATGCCGCTAAACAAAATCAACCAACCAACAATACATATTTATAGTAAAATGACCAACGATACATTTTATCTGTAGTTGAAGGCATACAATTGCATTCAAAATATTTACATTTCGGCATTAAATAACCCATAGGGATGTTGATATGCCGCTAAACAAAATCCACCAACCAACAATACATATTTATAGTAAAATGACCAACAATACATTAGCTGAAGGCAAAAATATATTTAATTGAAGCCAGAGGATTTTGTTCAAAATCTTTAATGTTTCTGTATTAAATAACCCATAGAGATGTTGATATGCCGCTAAACAAAAACAACCAACCAATAAGCTAATGGGTTATAGGACTCCTGACAAATTAATTCGTACTGATTGTGAGAGTCACTGTTATTATTATTTTGATGATGATTACTTTTATTTCCAATTTTGCTGCCTGATGCAATCCTTTACCAAATCAATAATCTGAGAGCTGGAATAAAAAGAAGGCTAAAGTCCTGGTATTTTTATAATTGCTGGCGCTCTTTCATCCTTTGGGTCACCGACGTCAGTCCATTGTTTAATCTACACGAGTAGGTTGGTCTCATTCATATCCTGTGTCATTAGGGTAGGTCGATTTCAGAACTGTGGTATGGTACATAATTTAAAAGTTGGGATATGACATGATAAATAATGACACACACTACCTTTTTTCACGTCGTTACCGTTTTGTGAGGAAACAAGTTTAAAGATTAAGTGTAGTTTCAAAATCGACTTATAAAATTAAATTTTTATGTCACGGATAGCGTTTTGTAGGTCTTCCTAATGAGAATGTGGTATTATGGTGTATGGAGGATTGATTGGTGACGGCCGAGTTCTTGTGGTGAATGTGGAAACTCTAATGTATGAATGGATCGTGAATCGGATTAGCTAGGTATAGGATAGTTAGTTAAGACCAGCCTCAATCCCTCCCCTTCTTCGGCCTCATGCCATAATTGTATTTTTTAATGCAATAAATATTCAGATTTATAAAATTTATAATTTACTGAAGCTTTACAAACTGTATATGGACAAGATGAAAGATGCATACGCACATTATTAATAAATCATTGTGCCATCAAATAAGACCTTCATTTACTTCAAAGAGAAATTCTATTGAACAATTTAGCTATATCTGATACAGTACAGTAGTTTTAGCGTGATTTTCTATAAACAATGCAAATTTAAAACATTTTTGTCTTAAAATTTGTGCCCAGCGGTATTATGGTGTTATATACACTTTTGTTTATTTTTTTTTAATTATGGTCTAACAAATGATCTGACAAATCCTATTATTTGGATAGCTTTTTTGTAATCATTTACAATTTTTACAGTTTTTACTTATCGAATACAGTATAAATATTGCATATTTCGCTTGTGATGATTCATAATTAGAATTTTAGTTTGAATATATTTTCCTTTCAATGTATCTAATACAAAAGATATCAAATTTATTTGGATTTATTCTTGAAATTGTAAAATTTTGAAATCAGTTTGTAAGCAAAAACCTACAGAAATTAGGTATTTCTAAATTTAGTTTTAAATATCATCTGAAAAGATTTTAGACTATAGGTCAATCTTTATCGACTCACATACAATTTTAAAAGTATCTGATTATGTTATTAAATAATACAAGGTTTGATATTTTGTAAACTTATCCATTCTATAATTTTTATTTCTCTTTGTGTAATAATTATTTAGTAATTTTTGTAGTGTTTGGCACAAATGCTTCAGGTTGGTTGCTATAGAAACTCTTCCTCAACTGTTACTCATCTATATACTGTGCAGTTCCATTCTTGCTTAACTTTGGCAACGTTGGGTCTTTCAGCGTATAAAACAATTACAAGTGTTTGTAATTGTTGCAAGTGGAGTTTAGAATCATCTGTATTTTGATGACCATTGTTAATTCTCTTCATTGTTGTATCGTTAATAATAGAATTTGTTGAGTTTATATGCGCGAGTTTTTAGCCTTGAAAACCAATTGAGGCCTTGAAAACCAATTGAGGCCTTGAAAACCAATTGAGGCCTTGAAATCGATGTAGATCTTAAGATAGGACATTCCTCTTGGTTTATTGCTTGTTAGACGCGATACTTTAGGCTGATTTAGACGCTTGTTTGTGCGAGAAAGCGAAATGCGTGTGGACAGAAGGATTTGTTCATTGACGTACCACTGTTGTGTCTTCTCTTTTTATTCTTTTATTTGCGTTCGTTTCATTCGATTACTTTGCCTTTTGGAGACAGCTTTTATAGTTCGTCATATTCCGCGTGTCTCCTTGCCCCAGACTCCATTTTTTTTTCCTAAAGAGGCCAGAAAGGTGAGGAAATGGGGCTTGTTTTAGGTTGTGGTTAGGATTACATGGCAAAATAGATCAAGAAGTGGTCTGGTTGGGTGTGAAGGAGGAGATAATCAACGGACGAGTGGGTGTACGAGGAACCAGTCAAACTTGATTATCAGAATGAAAGGAAAGTGGAGTTCCTAAAATTATGTTAAGAAGGGAAATAAAGAGGGGAGAAAAGAAAGAAAGAAAGAAAGAAAGAAAGAAAGAAAGAAAGAACAAAAAATCAAAAGAAAGGGGAAAAAAGAAAGAAAAAAGAGAAAGAAAGAACATAAAGAATGCAAAAATAAAGAAAATAAAGGAAATAAGGAATGAAAACGACAAATGAAAAAAAGAATCGACAGAAGAAATGAAGGAAAGAATAAAAGAGAGCACAAAGAAACGAATGAACTAAGGAAGGAAGCAAGGAAGGGAAGGAAGGAAGGGAAGGATAGGAAGGAAGGAAGGAAGGAAGGAAGGAAGGGAATGATAGGAAGGAAGGAAGGAAGGAAGGAAGGAAGGAAGGAAGGAAGGAAGGAAGGAAATATGGTAAGAAAAAAGACGAACGCGACGAACGATAAAGGAAGAAAGAAAAGAAAGAAATGAAGAAAGCAGGAAAGAAAAGAATGAACGAAAAATGATAGAAAAAGAAGAATGTAAAGGTCAAGCAAGCGGAGAAATGAAAAAGTAAAGAAGGAAGAAATAGAGAAAAGAGAAAAGAAAATAAGAGAGAAAAGAGATAAGGAAGAAACAAGGAAAAGAGAGAAGGAAGTAATAGAGAAAAGAGAGAAGGAAGTAATAGAGAATAGAGAGAAGGAAGAAACAGTGAAAAGAGAGAAGGCAGTATAAGAGAAAAAGAGAAGGAGGTAATAGAGAAAAGAAAAGGAAGTAATAAAAAAAGAAAAAGGTAATAAAAAAAGAGAAGGAAGTAATAGAGAATAGAAAAAGGAAGTAATAAAAAAAAGAGAAGGAAGAAATAGTGAAAAGAGAGAAGGAAGTAATAGAGAATAGAGAGAAGGAAGAAACAGTGAAAAGAGAGAAGGCAGTAATAGAGAAAAGAGAGAAGGAGGTAATAGAGAAAAGAGAAAAGGAAGTAATAAAAAAAGAGAAAAGGAAGTAATAAAAAAAGAGAGAAGGAAGTAATAGAGAAAAGAGAGAAGGAAGTAATAAAAAAAGAGAGAAGGAAGAAACAGTGAAAAGAGAGAAGGAAGTAATAGAGAATAGAGAGAAGGAGGAAACAGTGAAAAGAGAGAAGGCAGTAATAGAGAAAAAAGAGAAGGAAGTAATAAAAAAGAAGGGAATAGAGAATAGAGAGAAGGAAGAAACAGTGAAAGAGAGAAGGTAGTAATAGAGAAAAGAGAGAAGGAACCAACAAAAAAAGAGAGAAGGGAAGTAATAGAGAATAGAGAGAAGGAAGAAACAGTGAAAAGAGAGAAGGCAGTAATAGAGAAAAGAGAGAAGGAAGTAATAAAAAAAGAGAGAAGGAAGTAATAGAGAATAGAGAGAAGGAAGAAACAGTGAAAAGAGAGAAGGCAGTAATAGAGAAAAGAGAGAAGGAAGTAATGAAAAAAGAGAGAAGGAAGTAATAGAGAATAGAGAGAAGGAAGAAACAGTGAAAAGAGAGAAGGCAGTAATAGAGAAAAGAGAGAAGGAAGTAATAAAAAAAAAAGAAGGAAGAAATAGAGAATAGAGAGAAGGAAGAAACAGAGAAAAGAAGAGAAGGAAGTAATAGAGAAGGAAAGAGAAGGAAGAAATGAAAAAAAGAGAGAAGGAGGAGTAATAGAGAAGGAAGATAAAAAGGAAGAAACAGTGAAAAGAGAGAAGGCAGTAATAGAGAAAAGAGAGAAGGAAGGAAGAAAAAAGAGAGAAGGCAGTAATAGAGAAAGAGAGAAGGAAGTAATAAAAAGAGAGAAGGAAGCAAGAAAAAAGAGAAGGAAAGAAAAAAGAAGTGAAAAAGAGAGAAGGAAGTAATAGAGAAAAGAGAGAAGAGAGAAGGCAGTAATAAAAAAAGAGAGGAAGGAAGTAATAGAGAATAGAGAGAAGGAAGAAACAGGAAAAGAGAGAAGGTAGTAATAGAGAAAAGAGAGAAGGAAGTAAACAAAAAAAGAGAGAAGGAAGTAATAGAGAATAGAGAGAAGGAAGAAAAACAGTGAAAAGAGAGAAGGCAGTAAGAGAAAAAAAGAGAGAAGGAAGAAGGAAAAAGAGAAGGAAGTAATAGAGAATAGAGAGAAGGAAGAAACAGTGAAAAAGAGAAGGCAGCAATAGAGAAAAGAGAGAGAAGCACAAAAAAGAGAGAAGGAAGTAATAGAGAATAGAGAGAAGGAAGAAACAGTAGAAAAGAGAGAGAAGGCAGTAATAGAGAAAAGAGAGAAGGGAAGTAGAAGAAAAAGAGAGAAGGAAGGTTAGAGGTAATAGAGAGAAGGAAGAAATGTGAAAGAGAGAAGGAAAAGAGAAAGAGAGAAGGAAGTAATGAAAAAGAGAGAAGGAAGTAATAGAGAATAGAGAGAAGGAAGAAACAGTGAAAAAGAGAGAAGGGTAATAGAAAAGAGAGAAGGAAGTAATAAAAAAGAGAGAAGGAAGTAATAGAGAATACAAAAAAGAGAGAAGGAAGGAAGAAACAGTGAAAAAGAGAAGGCATTAATAGAGAAAAGAGAGAAGGAAGTAATGAAAAAAGAGAGAAGGAAGTAATAGAGAATAGAGAGAAGGAAGAAACAGTGAAAAGAGAGAAGGCAGTAATAGAGAAAAGAGAGAAGGAAGTAATAAAAAAAGAGAGAAGGCAGTAATAGAGAAAAGAGAGAAGGAAGTAATAAAAAAAGAGAGAAGGAAGTAATAGAGAAAAGAGAGAAGGAAGAAACAGTGAAAAGAGAGAAGGCAGTAATAGAGAAAAGAGAGAAGGAAGTAATGAAAAAAGAGAGAAGGAAGTAATAGAGAATAGAGAGAAGGAAGAAACAAAAAAAGAGAGAAGGCAGTAATAGAGAAAAAGAGAGAAGGAAGAATAAAAAAGAGAGAAGGAAGTACAAAAATAGAGAAAAGAGAAAGGAAGTAATAAAAAAAGAGAGAAGGAAGTAATAGAGAAAGGAGAGAAGGAAGAAAATGAAAAGAGAGAAGGAAGAAACAGAAAAAGAGAGAAGGGGAAGTAATGAAAAAAGAGAGAAGGAAAAAAGAGAGAGAATAGAGAAAAGAGAAGAAAGTAATGAAAAGAGAGAAGGCAGTAATAGAGAAAAGAGAGAAGGAAGTAATAAAAAAGAGAGAAGGAAGAATAGAAAAGAGAAAAGGAAGTAATAAAAAAAAAGAGAGAAGGAAGTAAAAAAAGAGAAAAGAGAGAAGAGAAGAAACAGAGAAAAGAGAGAAGGAAGTAATAGAAAAAGAGAGAAGGAAGTAAGGAAAAAAGAGAGAAGGAAACAGGAAAAAAGAGAGAAGTGAGAGAATAGAGAGAAGGAAGTAAAAAAGAGAAGAAGGAAGTAGAGAAAGAGAGAAGGAAGTAAAAAGAGAGAAGGAAGTAATGAGAGAAAGAGAAAGGAAACAAAAGAGAGAAGGCAGTAGAGAAAAAGAGAAGGAAGTAATAGAAAAAGAGAGAAGGGAAGTAATAGAGAAAAGAGAGAAGGAAGTAATAGAGAAAAGAGAAGAAGGAAGAAAAAAAAAGAGAAGAAGTAATAGAGAAAAGAGAGAAGGAAGTAATAGAGAAAAGAGAGAAGGAAGTAATAGAAAAAAGAGAAGGAAGTAATAGAGAAAAAGAGAGAAGGAAGTACAAAAAAGAGAGAAGGGGAAGTAATAGAGAAAAGAGAGAGAAAAAAGAAAAAAAAAGAGAGAGAAGGAAGAAAAAAAAAGAGAGAAGAAGGAAGTAAAAGAAGAATAGAGAAAAGAGAGAAAAGAATAAAAAAGAGAAAAAAGAGAGAAGGAAGTAATAGAAAAAAGAGAGAAAAAAAAAAGAAAAGAGAGAAGGAAGAAAAGAGAGAAGGAAGAAAAAAAGAGAGAAGGAAGTAATAGAGAAAAGAAGAAGAAGTAAAAAAGAGAAGAAGTAATAGAGAAAAGAGAGAAGAAGAAAAAAAAGAGAGAAGGGTAATAAAAGAGAAAGAGAGAAGGAAGAAAAGAGAGAAAAGAGAGAGAAGGAAGGAATAGAGAAAAAGAGAGAAGAAGTAATAAAAAAGAGAGAAGGAAGTAATAGAGAAAAAAGAGAGCCAATAAAGAGAAAGAGAGAAGGAAGAAAAAGAGAGAGAGAAGTAATAAAAAAAGAGAAGAAGTACAAAGTAGGAAGAAAAAAAGAGAAGGAAGTAATAAAAAGAGAGAAGGAAGAAAATAGAGAAAAAGAGAGAAGGCAGAATAAAAAAGAGAGAAAAAAGAGAAGAAAAGAGAAGGAAGGTAATAGAGAAAAGAGAGAAGGAAGTAATGAAAAAGAGAGAAAAAAGAGAAAAGGAGAAGGAAGTAGAGAAAAAAGAGAAGGAAGTAATAGAAAAGAGAGAAGGAAGTAATAGAAAAAGAGAGAAGGAAGTAATAGAGAAAAGAGAGAAGGAAGTAATAAAAAAGAGAGAAGGAATAATAGAAAAAAGAGAAGGAAGTATGAGAAAAAAGAGAAGGAAGTACAAAAAAAGAGAGAAGGCAATAGAGAAAGAGAGAAGGAAGTAATAAAAAAGAGAGAAAAGTAATAGAGAAGAAGAAAAAAAGTGAAAAAGAGAGAAAAGTAATAGAGAAAAGAGAGAAGGAAGTAATAAAAAGAGAAGGCAGTAATAGAGAAAAGAGAAAAAGGAAGTAATAAAAAGAGAGAAGGAAGAGAGAAAAGAGAGAAGGAAGTAATAAAAAAGAGAGAAGGAAGTAATAGAGAAAAGAGAAAAGGAAAGAGAAAAGAAGAAGAGAGAAGGAAGTAATAGAGAAAAGAGAGAAGGAAGAAACAGTGAAAAAGAGAAGGCAGTAATAGAGAAAAGAGAGAAGGGTAACAGAAAAAGAGAGAAGGAAGAAAAAGAGAGAAAAGAGAGAAGAGAAGGAATAGAGAATAGAGAGAAGGAAGAGAAAAAGTAATAAAAAGAGAGAAGGCAGAATAGAAAAAAGAGAGAGAGAGAAGTAATAAAAAGAGAGAAGGAAGTAATAGAGAAAAAGAAATAGAAAAAGAGAGAAGGAATAAAAAAAGAGAGAAGGAAGTAATAGAGGAAAAGAGAAAAGAAAAGAAGAAAAAAACAGAGAAAAGAGAGAAGGAAGTAATAAAAAAGAGAGAAGGGAAGAAACAGAGAAAAGAGAGAAGGAAGTAATAGAGAAAGAGAGAAGGAAGTAACAAAAAAGAGAGAAGGAAGTAATAGAAAAGAGAGAAGCACAAAAAAAGAGGAAGTAATAAAAAAGAGAGAAGGAACAAAAAAAGAGAGAAAGAGAGAAGGAAAAGAATAGAGAAAAGAGAGAAGGAAGTAAAAAAAGAGAGAAGGAAGTAATAGAGAAAAAGAGAAAAGAGAAAGAAGAGAAGGAAGTAAAAAAAGAGAGAAGGAAGTAATAGAGAAAAGAGAGAAGGAAGTAATAAAAAAAGAGAGAAGGAAGTAAAAAGAGAGAAAAAGAGAAAAAGAGAAGGTAGTAAAAAAAAGAGAGAAGGAAGTAATAGAAAAGAAAGAGAGAAGGAAGAGAGAAGGCAGAGAAAGAGAGAAAAGAGAGAGAAGGAAGTAATAAAAAAGAGAGAAGGAAGTAATAGAAAAAAGAGAGAAGGAAGAAAATGAAAGAAAAAGAGAGAAGGAAGTAATAAAAAAGAGAGAAGGCAGTAATAGAGAAAAGAGAGAAGGAAGTAAAAAAAAGAGAAGGAAAAGTAAGGAATAAAAAGAGAGAGAATAGAGAGAAGGGAAGAAACAAGTGAAAAGAGAGAAGGAAGTAATAAAGAAAGAGAGAAGGCAGTAATAGAGAAAAGAGAGAAAAAAGTAACAAAAAGAGAGAAGGAAGTAATAGAGAAAAAGAGAAAAGGAAGTCTATAAAAAGAGAGAAGGAAAAAAGAGAGAATAAGAGAAGGAAGAAACATAAAAAAAGAGAAGGCAGTAATAGAGAAAAGAGAGAAGGAAGAATAAAAAAGAGAGAAGGAAGTAATAGAGAAAAGAGACGCAATCTAATAGAGAATAGAGAGAACAAAAAAAAAAACAGTGAAAGAGAGAAGGCAGTAATAGAGAAAAGAGAAAAAGAACAAAAAAGAGAGAAGGAAGTAATAAAAAAAGAGAGAAGGAAGTAATAGAGAAAAGAGAGAAGGAAGTAATAGAGAAAAGAGAGAAGGAAGTAATAAAAAAAGAGAGAAGGAAGTAATAAAAAAAAGAGAAAAGGAAGTAATAGAGAAAAGAGAAAAGGAAGTAATTGAGAATAGAGAGAAAGAAGAAACAGTGAAAAGAGAGAAGGCAGTAATAGAGAAAAGAGAGAAGGGGGTAATAGAGAAAATAGAAAAGGAAGAAATGGAGAGGAAAAAAAGGAACGAAAAATATGAAAGAAAGAAATGAAATTCGCTAGGAAAAGAAACGCTGGGAGAAAGAAAGAGTTAAGATAGAATGAAGAAGTGAATGAAAAATGGCGAAGTAAAGAAAGAATAAAAAGATGTAAACGCTAAAGACAGAGAAAAAAAAAGGAATTCAAAACATTCGAAAAAATGCAGTCAGCAAACATAAAATTCATTGGTAAACGAAAAAAAGATGAATTGCTGATGTCTTGGAAACAGGAAGAAAAAACAACGCGATTGACGAAAAAGAGAAATATTTGGCCATAAAAGAATTCCTGTGCATACATTTTTAAGGAAAGAATATATTTCTTAGAGTATATTTACAAAGGTTTTGTGCTTTTGACATGATGAGATCTGATAAAAGGCAACTCGTCTCTAGATGAACGATGGATATATCGCCCTTTCAAAAGAAATAAAAACATCTTGGTAATAAAAAAAAATGTGGGGGACTTTATTGGATAGCGTGTTGGGCGGACAAAATCCACGATATAATTAGATTAACTCCTGGCAATATAATTAACAATTTCTTTTTAAAATACGTTCAGATTTTTTTTTTTTTTTTTTTGCATGATTGAAAGGAGTTAAAAGCCAACGAAAAAAAATAGGGGTTTATAGTAGATATAAAGAGATTGATGAATTACGGATATGCGTAACTGATATATTTTAAGAAAAGCCTTCTTGGCTCACATTTTCAACTGACATGAAATTAAATGATTATATTATAAATCAATTGCTAGATCTGCTCCTAGGAAAGTTGGCTCACTGAGTCGCTCCAGATAATTTTTTTTCGTCAGAATCCATCTTCCTATATTTACAGAATCGACCATTTGTCCGGGCATTGAATACTGCTGTCAAATCTGTCCTGGGGCTCGAGATTCTTCACAAAATCCAAAGAAGGATCTGCAATGTAATCGATCCTGACCTGGCATCTCGTCTTCAGTTACTTTCCCACCGACGTGACGTGGCTTCTTTCTGTCTTTTCTACAAATATATTCATGGCAATTGTTCTGATAAACTTTTCTCCTTCTTGCTGCGACTGCATGAATTTAAGCGTGATACTCGATTGGCAATTAGGTCTCACTGTTTTACTGTTGAACCAGATAGATTCAACCGTATGTTATATTCTAATGGTTTCTTTGCTCGCACGTCTCATCCGTGGAAGTCTCATCCGGTTTCTTGCTTCCTTGCCACCTACAATCTTCAAAATTTTAAATACAACGCCAATCGCCATCTTCTGTCTTCCTGAGTCCTGTTCTTTTATTGTCCTTTCTCCTCACTAATGTCTTCTCATTATCTTTCACTCCCAATAGCCCCTTGCGTCTTAGTGGCATTATCGCCTTGCTTGGGGTGAAAGGATTAAAAAAAAAAAGTAAGCTCTTTGCCTATCCATGGTCTAACGGTTAACGAGTCCGTTTTGTATTGAGTTCAGTCCTTACTAAGTACGCAGTACTAGTGACTTTGTATTAGACCAAGCTGATCTTTAGTATATAACTATTCAGGATTACTAATCGTGAAGTAGTAGCCAGAAAATTGGCCGCCGACCATTACAACAAGTGGTGCTGAAAACTTCTCGACTCGAAAATGTAACGAAATGAACAAAGATTATTAAGGGTTTCTAGGGTCTATAGCCATAGGTTATTTATATACTTGTTTGGTTTGGTTTGGTTTATTCTGTTTAACGACATATCAACCTCAATGGTTTATTTAATGCCGACAACATTTTTAGGATAGATTCGTATGAATAGAATATGTATTCTTTGGTTTAGATTGGTTTGGTTTATTTTCTTTTACGGCATATCAACCTCAATGATTTATTTAATAAACAACATTTTTAGGATAGATTCGTATGAATAGAATATGTATTCTTTGGTTTAGATTGTTTGGTTTATTTTCTTTTACGGCATATCAACCTCGATGGTTTATTTAAGGCGACAACATTTTAGGATAGATTCATGTATGAATAGAATATGTATTCTTTGCTATAGATTGGTTTGGTTTATTTTTGTTTAACGGCATATCAACCTCAATGGGTTATTTAATGCCGACAACATTTTTAGGATAGATTCGTATGAATAGAATATGTATTCTTTGGTTTAGATTGGTTTGGTTTATTTTTTTTACGGCATATCAACCTCAATGGGTTATTTAATGCTGACAAAAGATTTTATTGCTGGTGATATTTTGTTTTGTCAAAAATCCGCTTCTGGCAATATATTTCCTTCAAAATTGTATTGCTGGTAATAATTCTCTTCAAGAAAATATTGCTGGTAGTAGTTAACTATTTTCCCATAGCTGGGACCCTAACAGGTGCTACCACCCCGGGTCAGGGTGGACCTGGGAACACCAGAAATTAAGAGGTGGTTCCACACTCCTCAAAACCTCCTGATCAGAGGCCTTGCTGCTGGACGTAGTTTAACGTTTTACCCAGGACGTGGATGTAGTTTAACATCTTACCCAGGACGCATTTATGTACTTGTGTTGTTAGTCATCGGTCGTTTTTATACTTTAGTACATAAGAATTTATAGATGACGTTTATAATTGGCTCCATGTAGATGAGCGGGGGTGTAGTGGATAGCAGAATGAGAAAGTCGAGTTCTCAGTGATAACCTTGAGAAAGCCATGAATCCACTTCTTCTCCCTTCTATTATCCACTAGACCACCCATAAACCAGTTACGTTTCTTTTAAAAGCATTTCGTGATATAAAATGCTGAGGTAACAACATTATCAATTTTAGTAATAATTACACATATTTTAATTTGCGTTTGCAATACAAGTTAATGAGTAATTATTATTACTCACATTATAAAATATTACTTAAATCAAGCGCAATGCGTCTTGGGTATAACGATAAAATACATCCAACGCCAAGACCACTCGGCCACGCATCCGCAATAGTCTGATATAAATAAATACGTATTAAGAAACTTTTCTGTCTGTCATATGTAAATTAGACAACCAAGCAGAAAAAAAAATCGAAAGAAAATCAATTGTAATAAATCAGGAGGTTTTGAAGGGCGTGAAACCACCTTTTAATTGCTGCTGTTCCTAGTCTGTCCTGCTATTTACCCAAAGCTGGTTTTGCCATAGAGGATTCATACCTTTCCCAAGGTTATTAAAGACGATTCAGTAAATTCCTCCTTCAAGTTTCAGCTTATTTTGTTTAATATATATATATATATATATATATATATATATATATATATATATATATATATATAAAAATAATTTCGAAAAGGTCCGACAATTTATTTATTAAAAGACATTTTTTTTATGTTTAACGTTGTTATTTATAGATACAAGTATTTAAGCAAATGCTCTGTTTATGATAAACAGTATTAAATAACATTTACCGGCCTGAATGTCGAGAAATTTCTTAATATATGACGTCATTTGTTTACATTTGATACGCCAGAGCAGTTATGAATAAAACGAGATTCATGGAAGATTGAAGTTTATAAGCAGTAAATTGGACCTTGTCTACCGAAAGGTTCTTTTGGCCCAGAGGTAATGCACAAAAAGCGTAAATGACGGTTCCGTATAGGATGCAGGTTCGAATCCTGTCAAAGAACGAATATTTTCTATGAAAATTTCTCGGACATTCAGGCCGGTAAATGTTATTTAATACTGTTTATCATAAACAGAGCATTTGCTTAAATATTTGTATCTATAAATAACAACGTTAAATATAAAAAAATGTCTTTAATAAATATATATATATATATTCATGAATCATTCATACAAAAAATAAATATAGAGGTTTGTACGAATGATTCATGAATTTATAAATTATAATTTGCACCTTTAATTGAAATTAAAATAACTGATCCAACGTGCAACTTTCGGATAATAAGTGTGACATTACTGTAATTATTGAACAATATAGTTCATGCCACATGGACGGAAAATCTCCCAGTAAAAAAGAATTCTCTTTTGTACAAAAACGCACAACCTTAAACTTTAAATTCAAACTCAGCGTTGCGACCGCACGTTCCAAAACAATAACACATTTCTCATAGCATTTTTTCGGGTTACATCTCTATTTTCGTTGTTCTCTTATTACCAAGAAGTAAAAACAACAAAATCTGTTTCCATACCTGAGGATGTCTGTAGGAACAGACGAAAGCTTGTAAAAATTAAAAGACCTTATGCAACTGGAATTTATGAACAGGGATCATATCATTCATATACAGGTTCGGGGTTGATGTATCTTATTTATATTGTTTGCGAAGATGTATTCTCGCTATTTAAATCATTAACCTCTATATTTGTTTTTTGTATGAATGATTCATGAATTTATAAATTATAATTTTCACCTTTAATTGAAATATATATATATACTATTTAAAAAAACAACTACAGACAGCTAGCCAAAAGACTTAACACCTGAAATAAGAGAAAATCCCGACCAAAGTCAGTCCATAATTATGAACTTTCTCATTGCCAGTTCAATGAAGACATTTGTCTCACTAACACACGAAAAAAGAGAATGTTTAACGTCGAAAAAAATAAGACAAATTAATTTCTTTTAATAATATGTGGAAATATCTAATTTTTGCCTGATGAAGGTCGCGAGACCGGAAACCCGTGTAACAAAATTATGGAAAATAAAGCATTTTTTTTTAATCCACATTACAACCAAAAGCGCTTGCAGTTTCTCTCTTCTTTTTAATATATAAACTTTTCTCTCGTTGGAACGAACGAAGGAACGAACGAACGAACATACATACATACCATTACATACATACATACATACATACATACATTACATACATTACATTACTTTATATACATACATTACATTACATACATACATTACATACATACATATATTACATACACAGAGAAGACAGACAGACAGACATGAATATTCTGATATAATGATTAACCGATCGTTTCCGCGTATGCCTATCTGCTAGAATGGCGAGTCGATTGCTGTTTCAGATGCCTGCTCATATTTTGGTTTGTTCAACATACACAGAGCTCACCTGTGGTATATACTGCAGCTATGCTTATTAACAGCTTCAGGGTGAGGGCGCATCATCTGGCGTAAACAAAGGCAAAACTCTTAAACCCTCGCTCTCGATATGTCTTCATCCTAGCATAGCCATCGACAACTAATTCCGTCTACCCAATTTTACTCACAAGGCTTGGTATGGTCTTCTCACACTTTCCAATAGTGTCGCACTTCGGGATCGCTTCCACAGGCCGATAGTATCAAGAAGTCACCTTCCTAACAAATCGAAACCGGGTCTCACGGTCTGAAAACGAACGTTCTAACCACACCGTCACACATCCGCTCGGTTACACATTCACAATAGTCTGATATAAATAGATATACGTATTAAGAGACATTTCTGTCTGTCGTGTGTAAATTAGACGACCAAACAGAAAAAAAAAATCGAAAGAAAATCAATTATAATGAATTTATGTTTGAAAGAAACTCTTATTGAATGAGGAAGGTCGCAGGGTCAAAAAAGTTTCCAACACTAAATAATTCTAACCAACTTACTCTGTTTGCATGACCTAATAATGCTAACGACTCTGGTCACATGACCTAATAATGCTAACAAACCGACTCTGGTCACATGACCTAATAATGCTAACGAACCGACTCTGGTCACATGACCTAATAATGCTAACGAACCGACTCTGGTCACATGACCTAATAATGCTAACGAACCGACTCTGGTCACATGACCTAATAATGCTAACGAACCGACTCTGGTCACATGACCTAATAATGCTAACGAACCGACTCTGGTCACATGAAATAATAATGCTAACGAACCGACTCTGGTCACATGACCTAATAATGCTAACGAACCGACTCTGGTCACATGAAATAATAATGCTAACGAACCGACTCTGGTCACATGACCTAATAATGCTAACGAACCTACTCTGGTCACATGACCTAATAATGCTAACGAACCGACTCTGGTCACATGAAATAATAATGCTAACGAACCGACTCTGGTCACATGACCTAATAATGCTAACGAACCGACTCTGGTCACATGACATAATAATGCTAACGAACCGACTCTGGTCACATGACCTAATAATGCTAACAAACCGACTCTGGTCACATGACCTAATAATGCTAACAAACCGACTCTGGTGCGTGACCTAATAATGCTAACGAACCGACTCTGGTCACGTGACCTAATAATGCTAACGAACCGACTCTGGTCACGTGACCTAATAATGCTAACGAACCGACTCTGGTCACGTGACATAATAATGCTAACGAACCGACTCTGGTCACGTGACATAATAATGCTAACGAACCGACTCTGGTCACGTGGCATAATAATGCTAACAAACAGACTCTGGTCACATGACCTAATAATGCTAACAAACCGACTCTGGTCACATGACCTAATAATGCAAACGAACCGACTCTGGTCACATGACCTAATAATGCTAACAAACCGACTCTGGTCACATGACATAATAAAAAGCGCGTTCTTCTCACACCACGCACTTTCATGGCCGACTTACAAAAAAAAGAAACTATTTTTGACGGTGTGATAAGGACGACCATAGACGTCTCCCTCTCGAACTCGACTATAAAAGAAATTGGCAATAGTCAATTTACATTGAATAAAGTTTTGCTACAGGCTTAAATGTTCATCTGTTTTTTTTGTTTTTTTTTTTTTAATGTTTTTTTTTCCTTTGATAATTTGGCACTTTTTCCGTCGTAGGAGAAAAGTATAAATGTATAAAATTACTTTATGTATCCAAAAACCAATCTAGACGGGGTCTTGTCGCACCTGCAAAAACCTCAAATATAATACCCCGCACACGGACTGATGTAGTCAAGATTAGAGCATTAATTAACTTTATTTAATTAACAATAATTAACTTTATTAAATTAACTTCGACATTTAAACGCAAACAAAGCCAGAAAATCAGAATAAGCATTAAAGTTTAGGAAATCAAACGAAAGATCGAGAATCTAAAATTGTGTTCAAGTGAGCCTGTTTCCACCGATATAAGCCGAGGAGAATCAGCGTTTAAATGGTTAGTGGTATAGCGACATATAGAAGCAACCACATCGACAGACCAGTAACAAAACATCCGCTCGACAGATCGGTACCATAAAATTCCACTCATTACTCCCGGACATGGAATTTGACACGAATACTAAAGCTCTGCCGATTGGTAATTAGATTTATTTTTCTAGCGAAGAAAACGGCGAATTACCCCATCAAACCAAGCCACATCGTACCGTGTGTATTCTACGACGGAAAATGTGGCGAAAAAGAAAGGTACCGAGAAAAAACGTATTCTGCATGGCATTCCAAAGACGGAATGTCCAAATTAGAAAATAAGTCAGTGACAAGAGTCGCCATAAATGTATTTTGGATATACTAATATTGTGTGTCCTCTCCCAGCTGTTGACGAATGAGAAAAAAATGCTCCGTCGATAAAAGCAGTTGGTTTTCTAGAATTAGGGGAAATTGGTGGATTTTGGACATCTCCCTCCCCTCTCATTTTATTGATCCATAAATTTTTAAGTACAAATTTTATATCATTAGATTTTTATGGTATGGAACGCGTTTTGTAGGTCTCCCTTGAGAGAATGTGGTATTATGGTGTATGGAGGATTGATTGGTGACGGAGGAGTTCTTATGGTGAATGTGGTAATTGTAATGTATGAATGGGTCATGAATCAGATTAGCTAGGTATAAGATAGTTAGTGATGACCAGCCTCTACCCCTCCCCATTTTGGCCTTGTGCCGCAATTTGTATTTTTTTTTTAAATACAATAAATAACAATTGGTGGATTTGGCTACCGCATTCGTCGGCGACTGTGTTATTTTTCTGACTGGTTACGTGTATTGTGATTTGTGACATTTGACCTGCGAATCGAGATTTCGACATTTCTTTCTGCCCCTGATCTCGAGTTTGGACTTGTTTTCTTCGTTGTGGAAGTAATCTGTGACATCAATTTCTGAACTTGGAATTTTAGCTCAAGCACGTCGAAACCGACTACAATTTGTAAGTACGAGCTTCGCATACTAAAACCAAATACGCTCCCGAAAACCTTATCTGTGTGATTTATGACCGATGCTTGCCGCTACCATAACGAACAATTCTACTCATCTTTTTTCTTTCCAACGGCGCCAATATTCAGCGTAATAAATACTTGTTATTGTTTGTTATATAAATTCATGTTTTCGTTTATTCATGTTTGTATAGTAAAAGGCGTTTCTACTTTAGGGCCGACGAAATAAGTCGTAGCCCATGCACCCTCTACAAATGTATTTACTCTGTCGCCCCACTGCAAACGAGTTTAATGTGGGGAACCCGAGCGCGTACACTCGGGCCAAGGATAAAAATTCCCCGAGCCACCGCAACCGTCGATTGCAATGACATCGGTGCGAGCACCGATCCATCTCCCGAATGCTATGAGAGGGTGCATCCTCAGGCAGCTGTTTCCTAGGGCTAGGCACCTCACAGTTTTATTCTGACGGAACCACCAACTGAGTAGCATTCTGCCCGAAGACAGAGACACAACTGAGAGACGATAAAACCTACCCGGGCACCGGGAAAAACATCCGTGCTAGGTCTACACGTCGTGACAACCAGACGTCGAACGCAAAATGCCTTACTGGAAGAGCATTAACAGCTAATTTTACACAGACGAATACAGAGAACTGATAAAATATTATATCGACTTTCACAACAGCGAAAAGCAAAGACGGTGATTCAAACCTACCCTTACCGACTCCCGGAAACGCTTACCTCGCTGACAAGCATACCAACCCTTACACAATGAAATCCAACAGTTAGCCGACCGAAATCATTGCTCTCCTTAGACCTTTCTATCAATCTCTTCAACGAACACACACCAACGCGCCATATTCAATCTAGAGTATTAAGGCAATTTAAATGTTTTAAAATCTGAAATTTGCATTGTATGAATAGTTTTTTCACCCATTAAAATGGATAAATTGGATTTATTTCAATTAAATCATTTTTTTTTCTGTTTTCTACGCATATTTAGTTCTTATGCATCTGTGTACAGAAAAGCAGGTGGAGTAATCGATAGCAGCACGGATTGTGGAATCGGGAGAGCCGAGTTCGAATTCCAGTTAAATCCATTGCATTCACTTACGTGTTAATACTCTTGGGAAAAGTATGAATCCTCTTCTTCTTCCCCCGAACTATGGATAAATAGCAAGACAGACCTGTGTGATTTATGACTGATGCTTGTCGCTACCATAACGAGCAACTCTACTCATTATTTTTTCTTTCCAACGGTGCCAATATTCCGCGTAATAAATACTTGTTATTATTTGTTCTATAAATCAATGTAATGGCGTAATAAAAAGCTTGATCTTCTCATACCTACCCTTACCAACTTGAAAGACTGAGTTGTAACACAGTTGCCACCCAAGGCTATAAAGCCTTGGATGGCAACTGGTGTATCGCAGACAGAAATGGCAACCTACTGCGGGAAATAAAATCTGCCTTGTCAATCATATATCGAAAGATACATGATCACCTAAGAGTGTATCATAACTGACTGTACAGAAAAGTATGTTTATTCATTAGCAGGAAATTCAATAAATAAAAAATTTGTATGTGTACGAATATTTATTTACCTCCACCCCACTGTAGGTCATGTTTTCACTAAGTTCAAAATAGTAACCATACGCCCGTTTTGAGTCAAAAAAATATAGATATAATACCGTTCCACGCTCAAATAAAAAAATAGATATTAGTCTCTTTTATACACGCGCGGTGGTCACTTAAAAGTGTTTTTTTTTTTTTTTTTTTCTTTTTGGGGTCGAGTACGTCCCTCTCTATGAGAGATTGTTGGCGTATTCTTAACCCCGTCGGCAGAACAAGAAAATATCTAATAGTCTAATATAGCACAAGAATGTGGACTCAGGACTTTCTCAAGAATGTTAGTGCTAAGCGAATACAAGCGGCGTCGGCTGAAATTCGAACCCGATTTGACGATTCCGTTGGCGATACTTTTAGCCGTTAGGCTATCTCACACGACTGTGCTTGCAGCATGTTTGAAAAGCCACGCTTTTTACATATTCTTCCAGATTTTCTTTACTCTTGATTCCCATTCATCGGCCGATTCGTCCTCGCATTCCCGCGTCTGAGTCAGACGGGCCTGGGGTTGGTTTGATGCAAGTCAGCGAGGGAAGTTCGTTACGGCACCATTGTAAAGGGAAAAATCGAACTACGTGCGCCTAAAGAAGACTGATTTCTTCTTATTTACTAAGTTTAGCTTAGATTGGTACAAGGCAACAATAATGGAGCACTCAGTGAGGGTCGAACACACTACTCATCTCGTTAATCATTACTTCACCCCGATGCGGCTTTATTTCTTATTACCAATACTCTCTCTCTCTCTCTCTCTCTCTCTCTCTCTCTCTCTCTCTCTCTCTCTCTATCTATCTATCTATCAGTGTGTGTGACGATAAACTACATCCGGCAGCTAGTCCGCAAATCTATAGATTGGAGGTTTTGACAAGCGTGGAACCACTTCTTAATTGCTGTCGTTCCCATGTCTAACCTAACCCGAGGTGTTAGGGTCCCAGCTATGGGCAAATAGTGACCCCCCCCCCAACAAATATCAACAGTACATTTTTTTATAATATGAGCAACAATACATTTTTATAGCAAGGTGACAATCAGTGCAACACTAAAGAAAGTATAGAAATACATTTTTATAGTAAGATTACCAACAATATATTTTATGATCTAAAAAATATTGTTGGTAATCTTACTATAAAAATGTATTTCTATAATTTTTAGTGTTTATCTAAAAAACATAACTTTACTCGGAAAGTATAAAATTATGTATAAAATAGCTCTAGTTTAAAGCATAAAATTACGTACAAAATTTCGGCATTAAATAACCCATAGAGGTGTTGATATGCCGCTAAACAAAATCAACCAACCAAAAATACATATTTATAGTAAAATGACCAACAATACATTTTATCTTTAGTTAAAGGCATACAATTTCATTCAAAGTATATTTAGTTGAAGCCATAAAATTGTGTTCAAAATATTTAGATTTTGGCATTAAATAACCCATAGAGGTGTTGATATGCCACTAAACAAAATCAACCAACCAATAATACATATTTACAGTAAAACGACCGACAATACATTTTATCTGTAGTTGAAGGCATACAATTTCATTCAAAGTATATTTAGTTGAAGCCATAAAATGGTGTTCAAAATATTTAGATTTCGGCATAACGGTTGATATGCTTTTAAGCAAAATCAACCAACCAACCATATCTCTCTCTCTCTCTCTCTATCTCTCTCTCTCTCTCTCTCTCACACACACACACACACCTCTTCTCTCTCTCTCTCTCTCTCTCTCTCTATATATATATATATATATGATTTTTGCAAGTAATTTTGCGCAAAGCAACTGAATTAAATGAACATATTCAGACGTAAATAGGGA